TTTTGCCTTTCTGCTACAACACGAGATGTAGTTTTAGGGTCAGGCAGATCATTGCTGAACATGATCTACTAACCATGTTGGAAGTTTTTCTTTTCGTGATCTAGAATCCATTTAGGGATGTTCCCCTAGCAGGGACTACAGCCTTGTAACGGCGACTCGTGGAACCTTAAGCGTTGAGTCCCCCACTCTTTTGAGGCTGAGCTCAGCCTGGCATTAGTGAGGCTGTGTGTGTAATGAAAACGGCAGCCTGTGGTCTGCATGTGGCAAAAATGCAGAGCAAAGCAAAGTCTTTGCAAATGTGGGATGGAAAAGTATAGCACCGAGGACGCCACAATTATAGCTTGGTGGCCAGTTTCTTCTTGGAAAGACACAGCCCCTGTTGCACAATACTTCAGTGTGATGGATCTGAAGCCCATCAATGGGACTCTGGGGAAGCAGAAAAGAACGTCCAGAGGTCCACATGTTCAGTTGAAAGACATATGCTATTCTGGTCCTCAGACGTTGCAGCAATATCTGAATCTCAAAGTAGAATAGAATAGAGCTGGAAGGGACCTTGGAGGTCTTCTAGTCCAGCCCCCTGCTCAAGCAGGAGGACCTATACCATCTCAGACAAGTGACCGTCTAGCCTCTTCTTAAAAATCTCCAGTGATGGGGCACCCACAATTTCCAGAGGCAAGCTGTTCCACTGGTAAATTGTCCTCACTGTTAGGAAGTTTCTCCTTAATTCTGTTCCCAATGATGGGTTGTAGGTTCGAGGGCTACCCATATCCAGTGAAAAGAGGTGGAGAAGGGAGGAGATTGAGGAAACAGATAATAATAATAATAATAATAATAATAATAATAATAACAACAACAACAACAACAACAATAATAACAATAAAGTTGGAAGGGACCTTGGAGGTCATCTAGTCCAACCCCTGCTCAGGCAGGAAACCCTATATACCATTTCAGACAAATGACTGTCCAATCTCTGTACGGAGCAGGATTTGCTGCCTATTTGAGCAAACACTATTGGCTAAAAGCTAAAGAGAACAGAATAGAACAGAGCAGAAAAACAGAGTTGGAAGGGACCTTAACAGGTCATCTAGTCCAACCCCCTGCTCAAGCAGGAGACTCTGTGCCATTCCAGACAAGTGGCCGTCCAGTCTCTTCTGGAAAGCTTCCAGTGATGAAGCTCCCACCACTTCTGAAGGCTAAGCCCCTTCCACTGGTTAACTGTCCTCACTGTCAGAAAACTTCTCCTTATTTCTAGGTTGAATCTCTCTCCTTGATCAGTTTCCCTCCATTGTGCCTTGGGGTGCTTTGGAAAATAGTCCCACGTCCTCCTCTCTGTGACAGCCCCTCAAATATTGGAACACTGGTATCAGGTCACTAAGCGGTTCCCAGGCATGGGAAATTGTGGGTCAGTCCCCTTGTAAGCCAGACATGACCTAGTTGTCTGGCAAGCTGACATATGTCTTCAATTGATATATGGCAGTTTCTTAATGCTTCCCACCCCCCAGCTGATTCTATCACCGCTGCTCCCTAGAAGGCTCAGATTGGGGGGGCTAAAAGTTAAGGCTGGGTGGGCAGAGTCTTGCTTGGCTCTGCCCTTCCTCCATCCTTCATTTATGTGGCACTCCCCATCACACAATTCCCCCCCCCAAGAAAGAAAACGCCAGGCATCGGTAGGGTTGCCAGGTGTCCACTATTTGAGTGGACAGTCCACTTTTTTCTAGGGTTGCCAGGTCTGCTTCCAAAAAATAGCGGACAAGCGCGCGGGGGGGTGTTAAGTAGTAAAAAAAGTAGACCGTACAGCTTTAGATTACGTACCATTTCATCATAAAGCTTTTGAATAAAAAAAATGTCCACTATTTTGTGAAAAAAAAAATAGTGAACATAATGTGAAAAAAGTGGACTGTCCACTCAAATAGTGGACACCTGGCAACCCTACAGTTTTTTCACATGATGTTCACTATTTTTTTTTTTCACAAAACAGTGGACATTTTTTTTTTTAATTCAAAAGCTTCATGATGAAACGGTACGTAAGCTAAAGCTGTACGGTCTACTTTTTTTTTACTACTTAACCACCCCACCCCACCCCCGCTTGTCCGCTATTTTTGGGAAGCAGACCTGGCAACCCTATAAAAAAGTGGACTGTCCACTCAAATAGTGGACACCTGGCAACCCTACAGTTTTTTCACATTATGTTCACTATTTTTTTTCCCCACAAAATAGTGGACATTTTTTTTTTATGAAATGGTACGTAATCTAAAGCTGTACGGTCTACTTTTTTTTTACTACTTAACCACCGCACCCCACCCCCGCTTGTCCGCTATTTTTGGGAAGCAGACCTGGCAACCCTAGAAAAAAGTGGACTGTCCACTCAAATAGTGGACACACCTGGCAACCCTACTTTTTTCACATGATGTTCACTATTTTTTTTTTCACAAAATAGTGGACATTTTTTTTTTATGAAATGGTACGTAATCTAAAGCTGTACGGTCTACTTTTTTTTTACTACTTAACCACCACCACCCACACGCTTGTCCGCTATTTTTTGGGAAGCAGAGCTGGCAACCCTAGAAAAAAGTGGACTGTCCACTCAAATAGTGGACACCTGGCAACCCTACTTTTTTCACGTGATGTTCACTATTTTTTTTTTTGCACAAAACAGTGGACATTTTTTTTTTAATTCAAAAGCTTCATGATGAAACGGTAGGTAATCTAAAGCTGTACGGTCTACTTTTTTTTTACTACTTAACCACCCCCCCCCACACGCTTGTCCGCTATTTTTTGGGAAGCAGACCTGGCAACCCTAGAAAAAAGTGGACTGTCCACTCAAATAGTGGACACCTGGAAACCCTACAGTTTTTTCACATGATGTTCACTATTTTTTTCCCCACAAAATAGTGGACATTTTTTTTTTATTCAAAAGCTTCATGATGAAACGGTACCTAATCTAAAGCTGTACGGTCTACTTTTTTTTTACTACTTAACCACCACCACCCACACGCTTGTCCGCTATTTTTTGGAAGCAGACCTGGCAACCCTAGAAAAAAGTGGACTGTCCACTCAAATAGTGGACACCTGGAAACCCTACAGTTTTTTCACATGATGTTCACTATTTTTTTCCCCACAAAATAGTGGACATTTTTTTTTATTCAAAAGCTTTATGATGAAACGGTACCTAATCTAAAGCTGTACGGTCTACTTTTTTTTTACTACTTAACCACCACCCCCCACACGCTTGTCCGCTATTTTTTGGAAGCAGACCTGGCAACCCTAGAAAAAAGTGGACTGTCCACTCAAATAGTGGACACCTGGCAACCCTACTTTTTTCACATGATGTTCACTATTTTTTTCCCCACAAAATAGTGGACATTTTTTTTTTATTCAAAAGCTTCATGATGAAACGGTACCTAATCTAAAGCTGTGCGTCTACTTTTTTTTTACTACTTAACCACCACCACCACCCGCTTGTCCGCTATTTTTTGGGAAGCAGACCTGGCAACCCTAGAAAAAAGTGGACTGTCCACTCAAATAGTGGACACCTGGCAACCCTACTTTTTTCACATGATGTTCACTATTTTTTTTTTTGCACAAAATAGTGGACCTTTTTTTTTTTAATTCAAAAGCTTCATGATGAAACGGTAGGTAATCTAAAGCTGTACGGTCTACTTTTTTTTTACTACTTAACCACCACCCCCCACACGCTTGTCCGCTATATTTTGGGAAGCAGACCTGGCAACCCTAGAAAAAAGTGGACTGTCCACTCAAATAGTGGACACCTAGCAACCCTACAGTTTTTTCACATTATGTTCACTATTTTTTTTCCACAAAACAGTGGACATTTTTTTTTTAATTCAAAAGCTTCATGATGAAACGGTACGTAATCTAAAGCTGTACGGTCTACTTCTTTTTTACTACTTAACCCCCACCCACCCCCGCTTGTCCGCTATTTTTGGGAAGCAGACCTGGCAACCCTAGGCACCGGGGGCGCACCCCCTCCTCTCCACCCGCGAAGTAAGCCATCCCCCCCCTCCCTCCCGAGGGAGGGAGGGAGGGAGGGAGGGCGTCTTGGAGGGGGGGGCAGAAGAGGAGGAAACCCACTCCGGCAGCCCCAGCCCAGCAACGGAGGAGCGGGGTTGAACTGCGCTGGCTACACGTGGCGAAGCCGACCGAGACCCACCCTTCGCTGGGATCGCCTCGGGGGCGGGGGGGGGAGGACCGACCGCAGTCGGGGGAGGAGACCAGCTCCCTTCGCTCGAACTGGATCTGGAGGCTCCCCAGCAGCTCCCTTCCTTCCTGCCCCGGTCCCCGGAGCCCCGCGTCTGGTGGCCGAGCAGAGACGGACCCAGCTGGGGCCAACTTGAGCATCCGCGCGGACCGGTGCCGTCCCCCCCCCGGCGTCCCCATCTCCCTGCTGCAGGAGACCGGAGGCTCCAGGGGCCGAAAGGACCGGCCGGAGGCTGCGAGGAAGGGAGAGCTCGAAGGGGCGGGCGGCCGGGCGGGCTCGCCTTCGCGGCATCCCCAGTCGCCCCTCGGGCCTCGGTTGCTTTGCTGCGCCGTACTGGACGGCGCGGACCGTTGGCGAGTCCTGCCGCTTCCCTGCTGCAAATCCCCGAAGCTGCTCGGCTGGAGCTGGAGCACGAGCTGGGAGAAGACCCGGCGTCTCTCTCTGACCAAAACCGACTTCTCTCCTTCTTCCGACGGGCCTCTCCTTGTTCCCTTCTGCAAGTCAATTCCTGGACTCAAGTTTTTTTTATCTTTTTTAAGCGAGTTTGGGCTGCTGCTTCTCTCCTTCCCTCCTCTGGTCTAGGCTGCCTCTAGCCTCTTCCCCACTCAGCGGTGGCATCCAGGAGAAGACATCCAGGAGAAGACAGCATCCAGGAGAAGACAGCGGTGGCATCCAGGAGAAGACAGCTTCCTACCCCAGCAAAAGAGGGAGAAGACCACCTGGAAGTGTCCCCCTTCCCTTCTCCCAAGACCCCCCCCCCCCATTGCCATCTGTCTGCAGGATGAAAGGTGCTGGTCCCCCGCTGCTTCTTTCCCTGCTGGTGGGACTCTGGTGTCTCTGGAACCCGGGTCTTGTGGAGCCCCAGTCCGTGTTGACGGACCATGAAATTGAGGAATTCTTGAAAGGCTTCTTGGGAGAGGTGGAGGAGGACGTAGAAGGGCCAGAGGCGGAGAAAGTGGCTGTGGCTGCGGCACTTCCTGAGAATCAAGGAAACCTGGATCCTGCAGAAGGAGAGAAAGCCCCGACAGAGGTGGAAGAAGGTGAGACCTGATATGTCGGCCTATCTCTACAATCCCCTCTACCGTCAGCGGTTCTCAACCTTGGCAACTTTAAGATGTGCAGACTTCTTACTCTGCAACTTGCCAAGGCCGAGAAAAGTCGCTTGCTCTATGCCAGGGGTAGGCAACCTTGGTTCTTTTATGACTCGTGGACGTCAACTCCCAGAATTCCTGAAGCCATGCTGGCTCAGGAATTCTGGGAGTTGACGTCCACGAGTCATAAAAGAGCCAAGGTTGCCTACCCCTGCTCTATGCCGAGGAGATCCTAAGTTTTCATTTGGATGGAGAACTGCTAGGAAAGACTTGCACCGGGGAGACACTGCTACTCAGAGTACTGCAGATTAAATCAGACTTCCCATCTCTGGTCTGCAAAAACCTTTAGTGGCAACAGAGATTTGTTTTGCTTCTATCTAATTTTTGCCCGGACGTGGTAGCCTTTGATTAGATCCAGTGGATCAGTGGCTTGACTTAACAGACGGGTCCCTTTATTAAGCTAAGTCAGAATCTATTTTGATTGGCTTGATCTTGACTGGAATCCAGCCACTGCAGCTTCTAAGCTCAATGTTGTCATTTTGGTGCAGGCATGGCAAACTCGTGGTCTTCTCCAGGCTGTGAAATGCAACACACAGCATCTCTTTTTGCTGGCCGGGATAGCTGGAGATGTAATCCAAGAGTCAAAGTTTCCCCATTTCCTGTGTTTTGCGTGATACGTGAGCCCGGCCAATTCTCTCATAGTCAGCAAACCGCATTTAAATGTTGTAGCATGATGCATGGAGATTTTTCAACTTTCCACAAGAGTATCTATTGGTGAAAGTAAAGAAAGTTTTGTTTCACAGCCTTCTCTTGCCCTAAATACAGTGACAGTAAATTTAGATAATCAAAGTTCATTTACTAAGCCTGGAAGATGCTGAAAGTTGGATGTGCTAATATTTTATTAGGAAAGTTTTGTGTTTCATTTCTTGTTCATTCTAGTCTAGGAGTGCTATGTTACTGTTATCTAGGAACTCAGGGCTTCTGGAAGCTCACATGGCTAATGTTGAAGATGCCGGACTACAATCTGGGAAACCCTTGACTCTAGTTAACGCTGAACTGGATACCGTCTCCCAATCCAACCTATTTCCTAAAATGAGGCAGACCCCCATAGGTGTCATATTGAGCTCCCCAAATGAAGACAGGATAGAAGACCTGAAACGAACACATGCAAATAAATCAATCTGCGTTGCCCTTTGTGGTTGCTAGAAAAGTTTTTAGGCTCAGGATCTTTTGACCCAACATCTTGTTGGAGACGTTGGTCCCTCAAGGAACACCAGCCTTTCTAATATCTGTGGATACAGCAGAAAAAACTTATCTGCATCCTAAAAAATTGTTGTGGTAGAAGTTCTCATGAACAAGAGTTCATTGTCCTCCATTGGTTGATCTACCTATGGAGGGAAAATGGAGTTATTGGGGGGAAAAGTATGCTTCTAATTTTAGGAGTGAAATCATTGTCCAGTCTTCCTGTTGCGGTTCACTTGCAGTCCTTAGTGGCCAATATGAGTCAGCAGCTCATCTGAGGAAATCCATGAAAACTGAGGCTGTTATAAAATTGTTACTGTTTATTATTAGGAAATAGGCAGGAATGATTGGGGATGCGAATTTCTTCTTTCCACTTAATGATGATGATGATGATGATGATGATGATGATAAAGTTGGAAGGGACCTTGGAGGTCATCTAGTCCAACCCCCTGCTCAGGCAGGAAACCCTATACCATTTTGGACAAATGGCTGTCCAGTTTCTTCTTAAAAACTTCCAGTGTTGGCGCATTCACCGCTTCTGGAGGCAGGTTGTTCCACTGGTTAATTGTTGTAACTGTCAGGAAGTTTCTCCTTAGTTCTAGGTTGCTTCTCTCCTTGATTAGTTTCCATCCGTTGCTTCTTGTCCTGCCTTCAGGGGCTTTGGAGAATAGCTTGACTCCCTCTTCTTTGTGGCAGCCCCTGAGATACTGGAAGACTGCTATCATGTCCCCCCTCGTCCTTCTCTTCGTTAAACTAGACATACCCAATTCCAGCAACCGTTCCTTATATGTTTTAGCCTCCAGTCCCCTAATCATCTTTGTTGCTCTTCTCTGTACTCTTTCTAGAGTTTCAGCATCTTTTTTACATCGTGGTGACCAAAACTGGATGCAGTATTCCAAGTGTGGCCTTACCANGGAAGATGCTGAAAGTTGGATGTGCTAATATTTTATTAGGAAAGTTTTGTGTTTCATTTCTTGTTCATTCTAGTCTAGGAGTGCTATGTTACTGTTATCTAGGAACTCAGGGCTTCTGGAAGCTCACATGGCTAATGTTGAAGATGCCGGACTACAATCTGGGAAACCCTTGACTCTAGTTAACGCTGAACTGGATACCATCTCCCAATCCAACCTATTTCCTAAAATGAGGCAGACCCCCATAGGTGTCATATTGAGCTCCCCAAATGAAGACAGGATAGAAGACCTGAAACGAACACATGCAAATAAATCAATCTGCGTTGCCCTTTGTGGTTGCTAGAAAAGTTTTTAGGCTCAGGATCTTTTGACCCAACATCTTGTTGGAGACGTTGGTCCCTCAAGGAACACCAGCCTTTCTAATATCTGTGGATACAGCAGAAAAAACTTATCTGCATCCTAAAAAAATGTTGTGGTAGAAGTTCTCATGAACAAGAGTTCATTGTCCTCCATTGGTTGATCTACCTATGGAGGGAAAATGGAGTTATTGGGGGGGAAAGTATGCTTCTAATTTTAGGAGTGAAATCATTGTCCAGTCTTCCTGTTGCGGTTCACTTGCGGTCCTTAGTGGCCAATATGAACCAGCAGCTCATCTGAGGAAATCCATGAAAACTGAGGCTGTTATAAAATTGTTACTGTTTATTATTAGGAAATAGGCAGGAATGATTGGGGATGCGAATTTCTTCTTTCCACTTGATGATGATGATGATGATGATGATAATGATAAAGTTGGAAGGGACCTTGGAGGTCATCTAGTCCAACCCCCTGCTCAGGCAGGAAACCCTATACCATTTTGGACAAATGGCTGTCCAGTTTCTTCTTAAAAACTTCCAGTGTTGGCGCATTCACCGCTTCTGGAGGCAGGTTGTTCCACTGGTTAATTGTTGTAACTGTCAGGAAGTTTCTCCTTAGTTCTAGGTTGCTTCTCTCCTTGATTAGTTTCCATCCGTTGCTTCTTGTCCTGCCTTCAGGGGCTTTGGAGAATAGCTTGACTCCCTCTTCTTTGTGGCAGCCCCTGAGATACTGGAAGGCTGCTATCATGTCCCCCCTCGTCCTTCTCTTCGTTAAACTAGACATACCCAATTCCAGCAACCGTTCCTTATATGTTTTAGCCTCCAGTCCCCTAATCATCTTTGTTGCTCTTCTCTGTACTCTTTCTAGAGTTTCAGCATCTTTTTTACATCGTGGTGACCAAAACTGGATGCAGTATTCCAAGTGTGGCCTTACCAAGGCACTGTAAAATGGTATTAACACTTCACGTGATCTTGATTCTATCCCTCTGTTAATGCAGCACAGCACTGTGTTGGCTTTTTTAGCAGCTGCAGCACACTGCTGGCTCATATTTAAGTGATTGTCCACTAGGACTCCGAGATCTCTCTCACAGTTACTACTATTGAGCAAGGTACCCCCTATACTATACCTGTACATTTGTTTTTTCTTGCCTAAATGCAGAACCTTACTTTTTTCACCATGCACTTCATGCACTTGGGCTGAGAAATCAGCAAACTATGCAGCTAACTGTCCTATCACGTCTCCTCAAGAGAGCTCCTCCTGTTCAATTTCTTTTTCAACCTTCCCTTAAAAGCCCAGAAAGCAGAAAAAAAGTGTCCCAGGAGAGAGTCTGTTCGTGCCAATATGTGATCTTTCCTTTGTTTTTAAAGCATATATTTATGGAGCAGCTGCTGCTCCTTTTATAGTTATTGCCTATTACTCATGTAATGTCTTATGACTAGTGGTATATTAGCATTTATTAATTCTTCACCACATGGCATGTCCTTCATAATTGAGGACAAGAAACTCTTCACTTGTGCCAGAGAGCTCCGTGGTTTGTTCTTAAAGAAATGTGTAGAATTGTTGATGCATTGCAGGATGCAGATGGATGCATTTATGACCTGATTCCATATTTTAATATGTATATTTTTAAAGCCTCTTTCCTTCTGGACCATAAGGCAACAAATATTAGCTGAGTGCAATGTAAGAATTCAGCAGACCTGTCCTTGTCTAGCTTTGGATTCCCATGGATTAGGAACCTAGCTAATGTCCTTTGTAAACAGTGTTTCATAGCACAGAGTTGTGTGTGTCCTGTTACAGCTTGGTAAAACCATGATTTAGTGAGATTTGTTAGGCAGCTTCCATCCAGATGTTGATTGAACTTATATCAGCTTTGTTCCAACAAAGTTACTATCTTGGGCACCTGCAACTTTGTGGGGGGAAATGTTTAGCTAGACACATACCCCCCCAAGGGTAGTCTCTACCCCAGGGCAGCTCTCCATACATGTAGTTGTGAGGTACAGCTTTAATTCTAGCATCTGTAGCTGCAAGAAACCTCTGCACTATTTATCTGATCCTCATTAAACTGGCTGATTGCGCCTTTTGATGCAAGTTGTTGCAAGTTATTGCCTGCAGTTAGAACAGGAGCAGAACCCCTTGACAAGGAAAGTTGATGAATGGATTTTGGTTTAAAGGTAGTTAAATTTCATTTGTGGTATCTGGCTCACAGTTCCATTTCTCCTCCAATGGAAGCTATCCCAGGAGTCAGATAAAAACCTATGTTAGTATGCATTCCCCAGTAATTGCGTAATTATAAAATGTAAGTAGTACATTATATTAATTTATTATCCATTTCACCTTCCATTCTTCCCAGAGGCACAAGACATCGTATACAATTTTCTCCCCTGCTTTTAAAAAAAATCTTCTTATATGATTTCTATCCTGTTTTTTCTGGCTGGAGGACACACGTTATCTGCACAACAACCCTATGAGGTAGGGTGTTGGATAATATTGATCAATCCAAGATCATAAAATAAGACTGAGTCGATACTGAAATATGGATCCCCATTGTTCTAACCAGGATACCCAATCAAGCAGCTTCTTAATAGGTGATCTTTGGTTTCATTTTAGGCAAAGAGTGAACAAGATCAGACATTATGAGCTGGGAGGAACCGGAACCCGGAAATACAGGTGGTCCTTGACTTACAGCCATTTGTTTACTGACCGTTCAGAGTTACAAAGTCACTGAAAAAAGTGATGACCAGTTTTCACAATTACAACCGTAGAAGCAGCCCCAGGGTCACATGATCAAAATTCGGACACTTAGCAACTGGTTCATATTTATGACGGTTGCGATGTCCCGGGGTCACGTGATCCCCTTTTTATGACCTTCTTACAAGCCAAGTCAACAGGGAATCCAGATTCACTTAACAGCCGTGTTACTAACTCAATGACAATTGACAACTCAATTAACAACTGTGGCAAGAAAGATCACAAAATGAGGCAGAACTCACTTAACCGCTGTCTTGCTTAGTAACCAAAATTTGGGGCTCAGTTGTGGTCATAAGTCAAGGACTACCTGTACCTAAGTATGGAGAAAATATTTTTCCCGTTTTCCATGCTTAAAGGCCTTCTTCCTTTAAAAAATACATTTCATTTATTTTAAGGCTTAAACTGGGTTTTGTGTTCTTTCTTCAAGCGTCAAGAAAGGACTCTGTTGTTTTTTCAAGGGGGTGTCAGAGTTTGCCTGCCAAACCAGGGGGCAGGGGTCTTTAGTAAGAGCACCGACAGGCCATGATGCTTCCTGTTGATGGAGATAATTTTGTGGGAGACATGTGCTTTGGCTGCTGGGTATGTGCTGGCAACAGAACAGGAGCTTGTACCATGTCACTGATATGACAGGCTACACATTTTTCCTCATTACACAGAAATTATCTGAGTTGGGAATGTGCGTGGAGCTTTCAAGTGAGGCCTCTCAAACAGCCCTAATCAGCTGGAGGAAAGCCCAATCGGTTCTTGGAAACATACTTCTGATGATGCATTCAAGTGATTGTACTGCATTCCTAATTTTTTCCCATCTGCTTAATCCCTCTTAGCTGATAGTTTTGCTCGCCTTTCTTAACATGTGCCTTCAAGTGTTGTCTTCTGCCCTGCAGGAGCCTTGAACTAGCTAGACAGTTACATGTGGATTATCGCTGATGAATCTCAATTGCAGTTGCTTAGCTTGGCACGTAGGACTTGTCCATGCAGTCTGGAGCTGGGTGGAGGGAATATCACAGCTTGGGCATGACTCAGTTGGAATTGGAAGCGGACCTTTCCTTACGCACAATTGTCCCAAAGAACTCTTTGCTGTTCTTTTCCATTCTCCATCCTGGTTTGGTTCTGAATACAGTAGAGCAGGGGTCTTCAAACTTGGCCCTTTTATGACTGGTGGACTTCAACTCCCAGAATTCCTCAGCCAGGCACGCTGGCTGAGGAATTCTGGGAGTTGAAGTCCACCAGTCATAAAAGGGCCAAGTTTGAAGAGCCCTGCAGTAGAGTCTCCAACCTTGATTTCCTTTGTGGCTTGGATACAGCAGGAAGAGTTTAGACAGCTAGATCTTGTTCTGCACATTCCTGACCTTGCTTTAGTCATGGACTTGGTACCTCTGTGCAAAAGGAGAGAGAGAGATGTCAGGAGATATGAGAATCATGGTTTCTGAGACAGCCTGCCAGCAGGACGCTTCCGCTCTTAGTATAACTGTAAATGCCAGGCTGTTTTATAGCTAGTTGCCCAAACTGACCTGGGGTGTTCTTCCCACAGGCTGTAGACATGCTGCAGTTCAGAATTTAGGAATTTAGGAATGAGGCTGTTGCTCTGTTGGGGTTATGAGTTGACATTAATCACCAGCAGTCTGTCCAGGGAGAGCCTCTGATTCATAGACCCAGACCCTTTGCCCAGATCTAGTTCAGGCATTCATGTCCAGGATTTCCCAGAAAGAAAAGTTCTGGAAAAATTCCATAAGGAAACCTGGATGAAATCTACTTTTGTGTCAAGAGTACGGTGCCATCCATTTGTTACTGAATCAGAGGGAAAGGAGCAACGGTGATAATAATTAATATCTTTATTGTGGTCTTGATGGTGGGTCTATTTTTGTTGTATCTGGGGGACGTTTGGGTAAAACGTTTGGGTGGCTCACAAGTAAGTCCATTGCCTGCAACCAAGAATTTCGTTGAATAAGAGTTAGGACAGTGGTGGCGAACCTATGGCACGGGTGCCAGAAGCAGCACTCAGAGCCCTCTCTGTGGGCACGCGCACCATCGCCCCAGTCCTAGGCCTTCAGCTGGGTTTTATAAAAACTTTTCGCTTTAGGCCTCCACTGCCGTGTGCAAAAAAAAAAAGGTTCAATCAATCAGTCAATTTCAACTTCTCGCGGGGAAAAAAAAAGATCTTGCAAAGTTGGAATTGATTGATTGAACTTTTTAGTCCCACCCAGTCTGCCATTACCACCGCAGCCACGCCCACCCTATGGGCCACGCCCACCCAATGGGCCACACCCACCCAATGGGCCACACCCACCCGTCACTCAACGATGCATAAGTGGGTTTTGGGTTGCAGTTTGGCCACTCGGTCTCTAAAAGGTTTGCCATCACTGAGTTAGGATGTGTAATAGATTCTCCAACTCTTGGGTTTTATTTAGAAACGTAGAAAAGTAACCATCTTCTCTCTCCCAAAGTAGCACAGGAAAGAGTGACAGAGAAGCCCAAGAAAGGGAAGAAGGAGAAGCCACCTAAACCCACAAAAAAGCCGAAGGAGAGACCACCCAAGAGCTCCCCAAAGCCGAAGCCTCCCAAGGCCACCAAAAAGCCAAAGGTGAAGCGTCCCAAGGCCACCAAGAAACCTAAGGAGAAGCGTCCCAAGGCCACCAAGAAACCAGCAGCTGGAAAGAAGGCAGAAAGGCCTTCTCCTCCAGTTCCACCGGAAGAAGAGAGGTACCACTTTCCGGAAACACCACTGACCCCGCCTCCAACTGGAGAGGAAGATGGCTATGGGATGCCCGATCCACCCCATTATCTCTTTCCCTACGGACGAGAAGATGACCTTTCCCGAGTCAATGAAGAAGGGGGCGAATGTAAGTTCCAGGGCATTTCACATCCATCCTACAACCTCATGTCTTCACCACACAGTGACTTAGCCTGCACGTAATGTCAAGACTTGACGTGTGAACCCAGACTTGCCCCGTTTCCTGTTTTTTTAAGCTACTTTCTCATCCCTCTCTTACTTCTTAAGAGGAAGCACCCTGGGGCAAAGATGCATATTGGGAATCCCTAGACTAGAGAAGGGCATTAGTTGAAAGTAGAGATTAGACATTTGGGAAACAAAGGCCCAGCAGAAACTTTCTCCCACACATAGCCAAGAAGCACCACTTGGAGCTTTGGAGTGCTGTCTTTTCTCTAAGTTGTTTAAATCCCAAAGAGAAGCAAGCTACAAACTAAGGAAACATTTCCTAACAGTGAGAACAATTGACCAGTGGAACACCTTGCCTTCAGAAATTGTGGGTGCTCCATCACTGGAGGCTTTTAAGAAGAGACTGGACAGCCACTTGTCTGGAATGGTATAGGGCAGGGGTAGGCAACCTTGGCTGTTTTATGACTCGTGGACTTCAACTCCCAGAATTCCTGAGCCAGCCATGCTGAGGAGAAAGGGAGAGGTTTCCATGCTTAGCCATGCTGGCTCAGGAATTCTGGGAGTTGAAGTCCACGAGTCATAAAAGAGCCAAGGTTGCCTACCCCTGGTATAGGGTCTCCAGCCTGAGCAGGGAGTTGGACTAGAAGACCTCCGAGGTCCCTTCCACCTTTGTTATTCTGTTTCAGAAGTATTTCCAAAGAGTTAAGACACAATTTATCATGAGATATGTCAGTTTAGTCACATACATAAGATTTACCCAGTACCTTACTCTCTTTTGTTTCTTAATTTCCCTTTTAATTCCTCTTTACTGTTTGGTCAGTTAATTATCCCCTCCTAACAATTTTTTATCTTCATTCTTCTGTTTCCAAACACGTCTCCCCCCATTACGCTACAGGAACATTGCACTGCAAAATTGTCATCCTCAGACACAAACTCGATAAACAACCCATCATTATTTTGTTGATCTGCAAGATTGACCCTGAATGGTTCCTAGCTTGTTCAGGAGTCCCTATTTTTTTTAAAAAAAACAACAAACAACCCTGGGTTTAGTGTTTTGTGCAAACTGACCCATTGCCTTGTATCACACATCACACTAAACCTTAAAGCAATATATTTGTTTCTGGGTTAGTTGGTCACATTAAAAAAAACAACCCAATCAATCAAAGTTTAGTGTGATGATGTGAAAAAAAAGAGTGTTCATCTTTGACAATATCTGTTTTATCCTGCAGCTCTCTATCCTGAGAAGATAATTGAAAAACAAGATCCTTCCAGGTTTCACAGTAAGTATAATCAGATTATGGGGTATATATACCAGCATCAAGTGTAATCAGATTATGGGGTATAACAATAACATCTCAAGAGGTATTTATGGGCTACTTCTAAGGCTATTTGAGAAAGGAGTTTAAAATTTGGAAAAAGGGAAAAGGCATGAATGCACTTGATAAGGATAGAAATATTCACCAGGAAGTTGCATAATGTAGAAGCATCCCAGTAGGAAGAAGCCAAAGAGATTTCATATGAAGAGGGCAAGGATGATTAAACTCAAGGTAACAACAATGCTCTGAACTGACAGGTGTGCTGAAGGAGTTTATTTATTTATTTATTTATATTTAAACTTCTATGCCGCCCTTCTCCCCAGAGGGACTCAGGGCGGCTCACAGCATGTTAAAAAACAACACAAAAAAACATTTCCCCTATAAAACCAATTAAAAAGCAAATATATTAATAGCTGTGTCATATTTAAAATCTTTGAAAATTATTAAAAATTATTCCCTATTTAAAATTCACCCTAGGTCAGTCCCGCTTGTTGAAAAAGCCATGTCTTGAGGGCGCGGCGGAAGGTTAGGAGATCCGGAATCGTCCGGATCTCGGGGGGTAGCTCGTTCCAGAGGGTTAATAATAATAATAATAATAATGATGATGATGATGATGATGATGATGATGATGATGATGATGATGATGATGATGGAAGGGACCTTGGAGGTCATCTAGTCCAACCCCCTGCTCCGGCAGGAAACCCTACACCATTTTGGACAAATGGCTGTCCAGTTTCTTCTTAAAAACTTCCAGTGTTGGAGCATTCACAGCTTCTAGAGGCAGGTTGTTCCACTGGTTAATTGTTCTAACTGTCAGGAAGTTTCTCCTTAGTTCCAGGTTGCTTCTCTCCTTGATTAGTTTCCACCCATTGCTTCTTGTCCTGCCTTCAGGCGCTTTGGAGAATACCTTGACTCCCTCTTCTTTGTGGCAGCCCCTGAGATATTGGAACACTGCTATCATGTCCCCCCTCGTCCTTCTCTTTGTTAAACTAGACATACCCAATTCCAGCAACCGTTCCTTATATGTTTTAGCCTCCAGTCCCCTAATCATCTTTGTTGCTCTTCTCTGTACTCTTTCTAGAGTCTCAACATCTTTTTTACATCGT